CTATTTAAAACCTAACATAAATTATTGTATAGATAAGTGAAGCAAAAGAAAATGAACGAATGAATCTATATTTGCACGCAGACATGTCTAGTGATGCACCGAATTCCAAAGTCCCACTAGTTAAGCTTGTGCATCCTATTCAATCCCGGTATGCTTCCCAGTAGTTTAGTGGAGAAAGACAGCCAAACCGAGGACCACACAGGACCTGAGTCACTCTGCAGAAGTGCCTGTCTCTCATGATGGATTACAGCTGGATCCCAGCGAAATCAGGCTTCCAAATTGGTGCCTTGAATACATACAGTTCAGATGTGGATTCAGAACTTTTTGTTAGAGAGTTTACCTTTGTGTCTTTGCTCTTGGACCTATAGGTATACAAACATGTAGTAGAAAAACATTTTTAGAATGCACTTAGAATGAAGTTAAGATTCTAAGGGCAAAAGCATGTGACCAGAGCCAGATGATTGTGGTTTAAATTACCATCTTTCAGCTGAGATGTTTTAACTCTTAGCCTACTGCAACCTTGTAAGTGGCTAAAATTCTACAAGTGCCTTCCCTGGAGAACTTGACTCAGTCTTCTGAGGTTTAGAGACCTAATGGTAATTTTCCAGCATAGACTGTACCCGTGTCCATTTTACAGACATTGTGTGTAGCATTTCAAATGCAAGTTTGCTACTGTTTTCTGTTCCTACTGATATATCTTCAACAGGTACATCTCAGACTCTTTTCAGCTAAAGACTTAGTCACACCGTCTTCCCACAGCTGACATGAGTATACACTCAAGCTCTCGTTGTTTTCAACTGCCTTAGCCTAGGGCATCCTTTCCTTGTCCCCAGTGTGTGCCCCTGTGCTTTATATTTCGAATTTCAATCCACTTTTGTTATTTTAGTCCTTCAGTCCAGTTCATTGTCCATGATTTTTCATCGTCACCTTTCTACTGCGGGCTTATGGGTTTGTGTCATTGGAAAATGTTAACATACTCTGCATTTTTGTATCAATGCCAGTAAACCATATTTGGTTCCAAAAACACCCTCTGAAACATCACCAGTAATATTCTTCTACACCAGTAATATTCCTTTTGGTCTTAATGTTGTTTCCTTCCCTTAAACCAAGTTATGATTCTTTTACATTTCTAGATTACCTTATCCAGAATATTTTTTTTTCCTAAGTGCCATTGTATCCAATACATACGATACTATCAGCTATATTTCCTATCTTCCTCTTCTTAAAATTTCAGTTATCTTATAAAGAGACATGCCAGGTGAGTTTGGCATAATGATAGTCTATTTTGGGATAAAGCTGTTAGTCATTATATTCAGTTTTTCATTACCTCAGTGTCTCTAGCTATGTAATGCTTCATAATTTGCTTCAAATCCTTGCACAGCTCATGAGGTCAGTGCCACATGTTTTTATGTTGCCTGGATCATGTACATCGCTTTTTCTCAAAGGAAAAAAAAAGTTAGTTTTTTATTTGTCAGACATTTGATTGCCAGCCTGACAGATTCATTAAAAGTCTTTGTTATTAAGCTGGCGTTTTATGTGCAAGTGTTGTAAGTACTATTGAGTAGAGATGATGGGGTCTCACTCTCCTGGTCTAGACACTTCCTTAAAAACAGTTTTATGTCTTTGTTTTGTTCTTATCTTAGATGAGTAATTTTCATTTCCACAGTCTGTATCATTACCCACACTGCATTTGCTACTGTAGTCAACATCCCCATATTAATTTTGTTTTGGGCTGTCTGTAAATTATCTTTAATCTTAACTGCTTTTTGCTGCTAGGTGAAGCCACTCTTTTTCCTGTTTTCTTTTTATTCGGATGATGAAAGCACATTTTAGTACTTGCAATTTTGCAAGATCTTACTCTGCCTAACATTTTCTGTTCTTGCTTTCTCCATATATTTTCTGACATCTGACAGTTTCCTTGCATATTAGTTTCATTTTCCACCCTACAAGCTTTCTGCATACTCCAGATATACTCTCTGAGGTGACTGCTCATCTAGTTAGAAATGGAGTCCTTTGTTAGAAAAGGTTTTTTCACATGTTTGAAGCTGCAAGTTTTTCACAGCCACAGTCATCTTCTTAAAGGAATTTTAGCACTTCCTTGAGTCTTCATTATTTCCCTTATTTTCTGATTTTTTTTAAAGAGAAATTCTGATTTATTTATGTTTAGCTTTTATTCATGTTACAGCCATTTTTTTTAAAAAAGGAGTGAATGTGTCACCACTTACTCTGAGATACAGCTTTCTTGACCAACCATTTAATAAGGTTTGGTAGCTCAACTTTTCTTGTGTTACTTGTCACATCCTCAGATACCCGGATCTACCTCTTATTGGTAGAATTTCTTTTCTGTGAATTTACAATATCACCTCACAGCTTTTATAGTGCTATTTACTCCTTATTTACTATTTCATAATATTATTTGCTTTCTAAATACTACAGAAATTTGTATATAACAAAAAGGATCCTACGCAAACCTTTCTGAAAGGAATCTGAAACCATTTAGGAACCCTTTGTACCCTCTCTAATTTTCTTACAGCTTATCACATATTTGATTTATAGTTCATCACATCACTATTTTTGCCATGAGGAAGACCCTAAGATTGGTACATGTGGGTGTGGGAAATAAGCAAGAACAGGATTACTATGTCAAACTGACTTGCAGATCTACCGTGTTATCTATGTAACAGGGAAGATACAGTGAGTTATACAAGCTATTGCAGGCAGTTTTATGGCCTTCTGCACTTCAATACAGTCCACTCACCCAAATTTTGGGAAAGAATATTGCCATTGTTTTACAATTAAAAAAAAAAAAAATATCCAGTTGGCACAATTAGGGTATTTTAAGGGGGTGGTCAAGGTGAAAATCATTAATACAATCTTACAAATTGATATTAGTTAAATTCCTTGTAGTTGCTTTCAGTTGCATGCCAGAGATCCTCCATTATTTCTCTCAGTTTAATTTCACTAATTTCTTTTTTTTTTTTTTACATTTTCCTGTTAAATAAAGCCAAGAAACCGCTCTGTATGGCTACTGTCATGGAAGTCTTTTCACTTTCTTTAAGCAGGCTGGATGAATTCTAAGTGATTTTTTTTTTTTTTTTGCTATGTGCACCATATCTTAGATTAATGCATCTCTAACTGAGAGAGGTTAGTGCTGCTGGACCATCAGTACCAACCAGCAGTGGCTTCTGCCTTACTCTGTCATTTAGACATGGGAACGGGAAAATCGGTCCTCTTTTTATTAGAGCATCTTTTTTTCACCAGCAGACATCAAACTGTTAAATCACAGGAGTGCATAACATGGAAAATGTAGTCATTGTGATAAGTAATCCTTGAAAGGAATAAAAATATGGAAAGATGGTTATGTTTTGTCTTTAGCTTTTTTAAGCTACCCTGGGACTTATCACCATTTTCTGGAATGGCTTATGCTGTCGCCTGACAGTGAAGTAGAGTAACCACAAGAGTAGGTTTTTACTATATATTTTATATCCTACTTTTTTTTCCTTGTCCTTTACAAACAGAGAGTTATTCAGCAGTTTTTAAGGTGTCAACTCCTGTTTTAAAACAAGAACTAACACGATTCTCTGATATGTTTTTGAACTAAGTTTTTTTTCAGCTATTGAACTTTACTTGTCTTAGGACCATCTTGGAAGGCGAACGAAATTTTATTGACCAACAAAACATACTCCTCTTTCTCTTTAAAATTTTCTATTTACAATAGTTATTTAAATTCCTTCTTATTGGCAGCAGTCTGGGCTTGTATTTTCAGGTAGTTGACTCTAACTGCAGGCAACAGATGCATTTAAAATAGACTGCAATAAGATTCTATTTTTGAGATGTGGTGATTGGAAGGGAATTTTCTTCTGTCAATCAGATATACATTAAGATGGTATTTATTTTAAAATTGAATATTCTAGTTTACAAGATTTGGAATTGTTTTCACATTTACTACCTAAAATTATAAAGGAGTACTAAAAAATTAAATGATATAAATTTTCATCTGGAATTACATGTGGAACCTGACACTTAACATGCAATATAAATAGTCTAAATTAGCAATTTGTCAGCATATTTGGGTATTTAAAAGGAAAACTAAAGAATTTTTAAACACTTAAACTTTCCTTAATTTTATAATTCTTCATGCTATTGGATGTATTACAAATTTTAAGCAATGTATTATTCAACTGATTGAAGGCTAGCATGCCGTGTCCTAATAGATTGAGCAGCTGCATTGGTTCTTTAAGATACTTCACACTTAGGAAATAATCATAAGTATAGTCCTACGAGTATTAAAATATACTGCCAAAAAATATATTGCCAAGATTGTGTCAATTTTTAAAGATAAAATTCAGCTTTGCAGCAGCAGCGCGGTAGAGTCTAAGCGGGTGGGAGAGGGCTAGAGGAACCAGCAGGCAGAGGATGCTTCAGGAAGGATTTGCACCTTTTGGTAGAGGTAGGAGCTGCATCTGCTGCTGCATGAGGGTTACTACTTGCTGCTGTAGCTGGCCATGTCCAAGTTCCTTTTCAGGGTTTGTCCATAATAGTTAAGCCTGTGCCCTCAGGCTGCAGTTTGTACCTATTCTTTGCCTGCAGCTGGCCAAGGAGGTGAATGGAATCTCTTCACTTGGAGTATTGTTGTGTTAATAATAGTTAACAGTAGACAAATATGGGAATAAGAGGGAGATGAAAGTAGTAAGAAAGCCCATTGTTCACACAGGATGTTTGAGTTCTGTATTCCTTCTTAAAAGAAAAATTCATATGTAGACCCACCAAAATTGCATACATTAGATTTCAAAGTCACGGTGATTTCAGGTGTCTCCTCATATTTAAGATCATATTTATTCATTGCTATTTTTAATTGCATATGAACTACGTTAACTGAAACTGTTAATCACGTTCATTTAAAACTCTAATTGGTGGAATCTATTTTAAAAGATGGATTAGAAAATATCACTTTCTGAATGAAAAAAAGGACTTGACACACTCTTTGCTTCCATTGCTAGGCCATGGGAAGTGTGACTGTGGGAAGTGCAAATGTGATGAAGGCTGGTATGGTGAAGCTTGTCAGTATCCAACTACTTGCAATCTTACACGGAAGAAAAGCAATGAAATGTGCAAGAATTCTCAAGATATCATCTGTTCTGGTGCAGGTAAGATGTCTTTTGTTGCTTTTGATGGCTTGGTGTTCTTCCTGTGTTATCTTGAGAATCACTGCAATTGCTTTTCTAATTAGGAATTCTGCAGAGTATGTTTCAAGAGACTGAGAAATAACTGTATGTGTACTAAAATACTTTATTTTCCTATAGGCCTATTCCTGTGCATGTGATATGCACTGATTCAGAATGCCTACTTTAGTACTCTAGTTTATCCATAGGTATTTTAGGTTAATGAACCTGCAGCTGCGTCATGTTTTTTGCCCATCAGAAAGGTTATGGTAATGGCATTAACACAGAAACTGATGTCATTTTTTTGGTGTTTGTGTTTAGAGCATGCAGAATATTATTCCAGTATATTTATAAGCTGTACAATTTTTAAGACACTTTTGAGCTGTAACAATGATTATTAAAAACAGTTGTGGAAGATCTGCTGTATCATTTTAATGGGATACTTCCATCTTCATTTTTCTGATTTGGCAGCTCTCTTTTCTCTAATTCTTTAAATGTATACCTTAACTTAAATAGTAAGTCCTTTCCTTAAAAAAAAAAAAAAAAATCAGAGGGAAAAGAAACAGCCTTTTAGAAGACTTCACTGCAGAATGGTAAAATTTTGAGGGACATTTCCTACCAGTCAAGTTTTGAGGCCAGAAACTGCCTTCCAGTTTTCCCATTGCTTTGATCTCTGAGTGACAGACTGTTTCAAGAACCCCACATTTGCTCACCATTGCTGGCCTTTAACTTCTGTCTGGGTCCGTATATTTTCATACAACTAAATTTCTCACAAGGTAGTCACCGACATGAACAAAGGACCCAAAGGATTTGTGGGACTTGCTACAGAAACAACAAGATGTGAAACCAATTTAACATAAAATTGTAACCATAAAGCATACTGAGTAAATGACACATTTCATTTATGACAATAATATACATGATATGAAACTCATGATTGTTTGGCTAACAAATGAGAGACACCTAAATGAGAAGCTGACTCTCAAAAATAAGCATAGTTCAGTGATCAGTCGAAGTACTTAGAATGTTAAGACCTTTTTTTCTCTTTGTTTCCTTGGCTAGAAGTGGCACCAGTCTGTCTATCACTGAGTCTTCACAGGAAAACCGACATAGCTGAACAACCACTAAAAGCAGCTAAAAGGGGAGAGTTTGAGAGATAAGGAGAAGAAAAAATGCTTTATGTTTTGCTGGTATTAAACAGGACAACAATTCCAATAAGACTGGCTAGGGAGTTTGGGGTTACTTTGATGGGCTGTAGTCATACATATTTTGTCTTGATGGGATTGCCCTTTTATCTACTGCCAACATTGCCTTTGGGGTCTGAGCTCTGTTTTTTTAATGCCAATAAAAGATGGGAAGGGATGACATGATTTGTTGCAAAAACATCCTCAGCTGTCACACAGCTAACCATTTATAGTAAGTTTTTTTATGAACCTATCAAGATCCATCTAAAATTTAACTTTTCTGACTCAGCTGTTCGTAACTACTTGTCATAACAACTATGACATCCTACCGAAACCGAGATTCTCCATGTGAGCACTGTCCACTTCTGGTCAACGGGAACAATGGACACTTTCAGGACACAATCTGTCTGACCTCTTTATATGCCCAATTGATGAATCAATGTACCATTTTATCCTTTTTCCTCTTTGAGAATTATCTGTAAACAAGACGGTTTTCTCAAAATTTTTATTTGTATTTATTTTCCAGGTAATTGTAGCAAATAATTCTAGTTCTGTAGGTTTCTTATGTTGTATTATCAGTTGTATTTTTATTATTTTATTATATTGGCTCTTGCAAACATTTTTAAAGTTTACTTTTTTAGACTGGCCATGTATATAGCACAGGCCCATTCTTCTGTTCTTTGTTTGAATTAAAAAGATGTTTAGTAAAACTTGTACTATACCAGTAACAGTGAAATGTAAAATGGTTTCTGCAAACCAGTTGTGTAACATCGGCATAAAACTTCTATTTTGGAGGACTTCGTTTGTGTTAATAACCATGTTTTCTAAAATATGTATGGATGTAATGTGAAGAGTATGTCTTCTAAATTAAGTTCCTTTTTTAAAAAAAAAATCTATACTTGCTGGCATAGTGACCCCAGTGACTGCTGAAACAGCTTGTGAAAGCCCACTGACCACGATCTCCCAGTTAACATGGTACTGCACAAAGTTCCTACCCTTACAATGCTAATAAAGGGGATAGAGGTGTGCCTTATATGACCAGCATGGTAATACTTTTGTTTCTAACATGATTTTATAGTATTTTTGCTTTTTTAGCTGTATAATTCTGTATGTATGTTTATTTATGGCTGGTATACATTATCAAGCACTGTGTTCCAAACTAAAAAATAGTCCGCAGGAGGAGGAGAAGGCAGTTGTTTGCTCTGCCCTGGCAACTGCACTACAGGTCAGGTAGACTCTCTGAGGCAAAAGGGGGGATTCTTCCTTCCCTGGGAGCAACAAAACAAAAATTTCTGTTTGGGAGGGTGGGTTAGGGAGAGAGGCAGCCACTGAGGTGAGGGGGCAACCCTACTCAAAAGACCAAGAAGCAAATGTGTGACCAGACCAGAGGTGAGAGAAGAGAGATCTGTTTATAAACCCATTTCTATCCTTTGCATGGCCTGAGCATTCCGGCTTTTCCTTATGTCAGAAAGTTTTCTGTTGTGATTTATGTTGTGAAAAAAAAAAAACAACAAAACCAACCAGTAAATAACAGCTCTACACTTCCAAAGCATTTGGGAGTCCCGAGGGTACTTACATTGAGGGAGAATCTCAGGCAGACCCGTGTTCTCAAACTACTTGCTGGTCTGACATGGGTAAAACCCATCTTAATCATGACAAATCAGCAAGTGTCTGTATTATAGCTCTTAACGTTCTTGCAAGATCTACTCTTTTCTAAGACATCACCCACAAACTGAAGAAAAATGAGCCCTAAACGCTTAAAGTTACATTGGGCCAAAGTCCTGAAATAACAAGATATTATTATGGAGGTTCCTACAATTCTTCAAATGAATTAAATAACTTGTAATGTAGACATCAATACCACTGGAAAAACATGCACTTTGCAGTGAAGTTGTTGATATGCTATTATGATACTTATGGTTTGTTTAATAATGCTGTGAATGTATTTCTCTGCAAGTAGCTTGTCTGTTGTATAATCAATGTATTGCTGTGGGAATTGCTTTCTAGCTTAAGTCCTTTTTTCCTGAAATCTGATCATAAGGTCTTCATGCAGATCTTCCTCACCAATGTTTCCTTCCTTTGATTCCTGGCTTTTTCTCCAAGGCTGTACTTATAAAATCTTAGTCCTCAGATGGCAGCTGTAGAAAAGGGACTAAAGACCAGGGCGCAAAGGAACTTTGTGAACTTAGGCAGACATATTCTCAGGTCCTCAGTAGCCATGCCCTGTTACTCTCATGTAACATAGCTGTGGGACTGGACAAAACCAGACTTCATTCTTGAGAAGATGACTAAGTTAATTTTTCTCCTTTCAGTAGGGAGAAGATATAATTTCCAAAGCTGACTTCTTCTCTCAGTTGTATGAAGTCAGACAGACAACTCTACGAGTGAATTTTACTTAAGAAAATATGGTGCTCCGAATTAAAAATGAATCCCTTGAATGTTGTATCTGTTTACAGCTAAGAATAGGCTTTTTTTTGTTGTTGTTGTTTATACAGATTGTTTCTGTGTCTGTCTTTATTTGACTGGATTATCTTTAGATTTCAGCATTCTCAGAATTAAAATACATACCATCTCTGATGGACTAATGAAACTCTTCCCGTAAACTGCAGTCACTGAGTACTTTCTTAAATGTTTACAGGCACATGTCAGTGTGGCAGGTGTAAATGTGCAAACTCAGAAGGAAATGGACTGGTCTACGGTAAATTTTGTGAATGTGATGACAGAGAATGCATAGATGATGAGACAGAAGAGATTTGTACAGGTATGTATTTTAGCAAGTACAAGAAGGATTGTAGAGATTAATACAGGCTGTTGTAAAATCATTTAACTGTGTGGACCTCCAAAACATCTTTACTGAATGTATGACTTAAAATAAAAGTAACTATATTTGCAAGAATTTAGCTTGCAAATGGTAAGTGGGAATTTCAGATGTAAAAATGAGCTAAGCAGGAGGTTAAAGAATGAAGAAATCCTGTGACATCCTCCTCCTTTTGGAAGAACTGCAAAGAGGATTATACAAGGCAATTCACTAAGGTAATTCATACCTCAGTGTGTCTGCCTTCAGTAGAATATAAGAAATGTGAATACATTGTGGCACAGATGAGAACAAGATGGAGGACAGAAAAAAAAGAAAAGATAAAAAGATTATAAAGAATTTTGTCAAGGAAGTAAAAATTAAAAAGAAAAAGAATAAAAGTAAGATGAGAACTCAGAAGCAATTCAGGAGATAAAAAGGAAAATGAATGAATGAATGAAGAAAAAATCCATCTATGATAGGAAAGGCAAAAGAATAAGATGGAGTGTACTCTGCTGATAGGTAGAAAAGCAACCAAAATTCAAACTGTGCTTTCATTTCATTATAAGGTAGGAAGCTGGTAATTAAATAATTTGGAATACACACCATTTATGGCATTATAAATGCTGTTGTCTATATTACTAGGGGGCTTGTCCTTGAGCTGGAAGGTGATATAAATATTTTTCAGGCTATGCACATGCATACTGTGTCTGTATGCACACAGGAGGGTTCAGAACTGCTCTTAAACTATTCATACTCTGATAGTAGTCATTGCTCTGTGTGCATGTATAGAGAGAGTACTTGTGTAAAATAGCTTTATCTGTCTTAATCCTTACACAGAGAACAAAATGAATTCTATTTATTTAAAATTCTATTTATTTAAATGCATTTGAAAAAGAACCTTTTTTTTTTTTTGCTTAGAATTAGCTGGGGATTTTAAATGAGGATAAGCAGAATGGTCCTCTGAAGTCCAAATCCAGGAGTACAATATTTCCAGTAATTGCCTAAAATAAAATGAGTGGAGGGCAATAATTTTTATGTGCCAATGATTCCATTTATATTTATTTGCTTGTAAACATTACATATGGTACAAGTATGATAAAAATTTGCCATTAATTTAGTACCAGTAAATTCTCCTTCTGCTATTTTTGTCAGGTTTTTTCCCCACCTGTGTTGCTGCTGGTTTATATTGTTGGGTTTTTCTTAGCTTTTATTTCCCCTTGTTTTATCCAGTGGTGCCATATTCCAAAACAGACCAGATGCATCTCTGTAAAAAAAAATAGTTTTATGTATATGCAGAAATCAAAGTATACTGATATAAAAGGACAAAAAAAAGTCGGTAGATTAAAGTCTCTATGGTCTGTGATTCAACAGTATAAAAGCCGTGATACCTTCTGTAAGGTTTGGAGCCTTCCAAAGTGAATATAAGGTATAAACTAATGGTGTGCTTGACTTGGTTAGGTTGATATAAACTGAAAAGTTTATGCATGTAGGTCATGAGTGTTAGATTTTGCTTTGCTTCCTGACAAACCTCTACAGTACGTACCCATATGTTGAACCAGGCCTTATGCAGAAAAAAATGAACAGCACATGAACCGAAGGTACATAATTTTATCACAGAAAAAGCAGACCCCACGTGCCTATCTGGTTACTGCTTCTCTCTCCCATCCTGATGTCTCCTTTAATACCCTCTATGCCATCTTTCCTTCCACGGGATTTCTACCACAGGAATCATTTAGTTTTATTTATGAAGTAATAAAGACACAGCATTCTAAGCCAGTTCCGCTTAGCTAGCGATGGCCCCTGGACACTCTCCACAGACAGGGTGAACCTAATCAGTGCCTGTTGTACTTTCACAGTTTGCTTAGCACCTACTTAGATGCTACATACCCTTTATTGCCCTTGAAGGTATAGACAGGTCTGGAAGATTTTAATTGTCCTCAAAGAAAGCCAACTCAGGAGGATTCAACTAATGAAAAAACAAAAGATTCTCTTTACACACATGTTTCTAAAGCGTGCAGCTGTCAGCTGGGATTTTATCCTGGAAAAGCATACAATGCCATGCTGAGATATGGATAACATACATTTTAATCTTTGCACGTGGGGATTGCATTTTTTAAGCAAATCAGTTCTTTGGTAGGGCAGAGTTATAAAGATGTATCGAGCTTTTCCAGCATCAGTTGGATTTTGATCAGTCAGTTGACTGTATCACTTTTTATTTAAGATTACGTATACTTTGGAATAAAGTTGCAGCTTATTTTTAATAAAGTATCATGGTTTCTAGCAAATTAAATTCTGATCCTGATCATTTTTATCTAAGGCCTTTTTTTCTCTAATGGAGTGATTCTGTCTTCAGTCAAGAGCAAGAGGTAGAGGCAAATTGTATCATTTAATTCATATTTATTTGAGGACTATACAAGTGTGAGTGAAGAATGAAGTAGGGATGTTTTAATCTGCAAAAATTGCTAGTTGATCAAATTAATTTACTCCTTCGCCATTTTTCCCTTCATTTCTTGTCCACAGTTAAAGAACAACCTTTTGGTAACAAGCATTATTTTAGGCTAAGTTGTGTAGTTATCTAAGTGAAATGGTATTTTTATTTCCTATTATTTTTTGACATGTAACCAAGCAATTGTAATGAAAATTTCACGTGTAATTGTACAAACAGGAAAAAACAGTATTCCACAGGTCTAAATTTTCACTCTTAATAGTTAGGGATATAAATTGACCAGACTGTGATAGTGATGATCAGGTTTACTAAGCTTAACATACCTAGAGGCAAAAAAGGACAAGATCCTGACTTGCTCATTCTAGTAAAGAATTAGCTTATGGCTTTAAGATTAGTAAGAATTGCAGCTACTTAATTTAAATGCTTTGTGTCATTGAAGCACGTGGCAGAAGTAGCTTAGTGGTTCAAAATGTTCAGGAGCTGGTTACATCAAGCCTCAGGTGACCCAGCTGTCTTTTTGGGACAGTTTGTTAAATGAGCATCTAAAAGGTTCATTTTACTAATTCTTATCTTTCATGAACTGGTTTATCCACATTCAAAAATCTTCTTAACAGGTAAGAAGGGAAGCCATATACAATCTAGACAGTTTGTAGTAAATCAAAGTCCCTCTGCTGGAATTTTCTGAGCTTTTTTAGACATGCCTAGTACGGTTGGCAAGTGTGTCCTATCTTAACATTTAAAGCTGTGCTTAAGTTTTAACTATTACATTTACTGTCTTCCAAATTTACCCATAAAGTTTCAAAAATTACGGTTACAAATATAAAAATGTTGATGTTATTTTCTTAGTGTTTATTGATTAGATTTAATCTGTGATTAAATCAAAACGTTCAAAAGTAGACTTGGGGAAAAGTATAATACAGATAATCCTTTGTCTTATTTTATGTAGGCATATATGATCTATAAAATTGTTTCTATTCTGAGTGTAGCACTGTAAGTTTTTAAAAGAAAAGATCAAAACAGTTAAATTGTTAATGCCTTTTAAAAACTTGCCTATTTCTCACTGTATAAAATTTGTTTTGGGTTAAGGCCATGGAAAGTGTTACTGTGGAAACTGTTACTGTGAGGCTGGTTGGCATGGAGATAAATGTGAATTCCAGTGTGACATCACCCCCTGGGAGATCAAGAAAAGATGCACATCTCCAGATGGCAAAATCTGCAGCAACAGAGGTGTGTCATTCGCACGTTCCTTCTACGCGTATTTATACAGTTTGCTTTTATTTTACAATATGCATTTTCTGCAGTAGGACATAGATTGTGTTTGCTGATAATTTCTAGTTTGTTCTCACTTATTTCAAATCTGGATATACATTTCCAAGTAAGTGGGTAGATACCTGTGTTTAGGTATAAACTTACACAAATCCATAGCCATTTTTGGCTTAAGCTGGCCTGAGCTGTTGTCATCCTTCATTTTTTGTAGTACGACTGAGCAGGATAATTTGTTAGTACACCTGCTTTGGGGAGAGAGACCTATCCTGCAAAATAAAATATTAGCAGATTTTTGCCTTCGAGTGGATTGGTGCTGTAAGGCCAACAGGACTGTGGCTCAATTCACTCTTAAAGCAGACCAAGGGCACACAATAGAATAGGGAAAATGAAAACACAAAGCTTTTAGTTTCCACTGCAACCTGAAAGAGCAACTAAGAAATGTTCAGTAACAATGCCGTGGAATGCATGCAGAACTGGAAAGGTAGACTTCACACTATTTCTAACTATATGGGGTTTAATTTGTGCGAAGTTCCAGAATTTGAATTTTACCTTATAATTCTGTCTAATTTTGCCATTTTGGAGAAAAAAAAAAATTAGCACAAAATAAGGTTGCTTTTCACTAGCTGCTACGTTTGGCTTCATTGAACAAAGAGTTTAAAAAAATGTTATTTTTTTGGCAGAAGTCCAGAATAATCACAGTAGAACATAAGCGCAAGTCATGTAGACACCTCTCTCAAAAACATCTCTACTGGCAAAATCTGCTACAGTGTGCACATCTAATTATCCTGAGAGCATTTAGAAAACTCTCTTCTCTTAATTATGAGGAAATTGAAAGATTGAGAGATCATGTAGGCTCATTTAGTCTTGGGACTTCAGCAGTGAAAAAATTTCTCTGATTCTGGGAATAATAAATATCCAAGTGGCTTCAGATCTGATGCTTTGTTTCCACCGAGAAAGTAATTTATTGTCAAAGAACTCCTTGACAAAGCAAATTTTCGTTCAAATTTGAAATTTTAATGTGCAAGTATTTCTTTAAATTTACATTGTAATTGCGGCAAATGAGGATAAATAGTATAGCTGATATTCGGAATAGCTACAAACTCCTATACACAGCTATATTCATGGGATACTTCTGTATTTTTAGCCTTTCGTGTACTTGTGGTTTTATCCACTTAAAGATTTTGTAGGCTTTTGACTACCTAAAGTTACTTTCCAAGACAGTATTTCTACTCTCTTTACTCCTGTTTACCCAATTTTCTGTGTTTATACGTCTTGTGATATAGGTGCAGTTCATCTTACCAGTCTTGAGCCTTCTAAAAATTAAATGTTGAGGCTAACATTGCTGTCCGGTGTCCTTCAGTGCTAAGATGGATAAATTGTCTGTATCTTTCTACCAACTCTTTAGTCAACCAGCTGAGACCAGATGTGAACCTTTAAATTTTTTACACTTTGGTGAGATGGTTTTTTGTATTCCGATATCTAGAACAGCTGATCCAAATTCACTTTGAAGTTGTTTCTGGGAGGATTAATCACTCTCCAGAGGCATTTCCTCATTTTCTGGTTGGGTTTTTTTGTTTGTTTAAGGGTTTTTTTTGGTTTTTTTTTTTTTTCCTTCTATTTCATTAATGTCACTGAATTGTGAAAGTATCAAAAACCAGGTGCAAGTTTCTTAAGGGCTATCTTGGTAGCTTTAGGACTAAACAGGGCAGCAGCTCTTCCTGCTTCATGTAAGCGTCATGCATACATGATTGTGTAAACCTTCTCTTTTTAAAGCACGTGTCCAGATCTATATGTACTCTTTCTTTAGCAACCCTGTTCTGTTGTCCTCAAACTAGTTATATTGTTCAGAGTAATCTGAATAAGAAAACAAAGGCTTTGGTGGAGTAGCAGAAGCTGGAGCTACCCTCCAGGAACTGAACTGCCTGCATCTGTGAGCTTCGGCTGCTTCTTTGTGCCTGTTGGCATCTCAGAAAAAAGTAGTGACTGTGTGGTTCTGAAGCAAATTTGGATTTCTGAATAAGGAAACAATCTTTTTTTTTTTTTTTTTGTTCTTTGTATATCAGTAAGGTTGTGCCAAATTAGCATCTTTGTCATATTTCACATTTCCCTCCTTATTGTAAACAGCGGGGTGTGGCCCTGCTGAATAGTGACTTGGGAAAAGTGGAAAAGTGTCTTTTTCATGTAGATCCATGCTGATATTCTTCTTAGGTAAAGAATGACCTCCTAGACATTTTCAGCTGGATTGGAATCTGCATTCCCTTTTAGTTTAAATGTTTACGCTTTAAAAATCATTAATTATCCACTGTGCCCAAGCCCAAGTCATTTAAACAGCATTGATTTTTATTGTCATTAGTGTCAGAGCAAATTACTGTTGATGTCAAAGATTTACGACTGTTCTGTGCACTCCATTTTTGTGTTGATTCCTAACAAGGCTCAACAGCAGAAAGAAACTTGAACAGGAAGCCAACTTGTTTGTATAAAGTGTTATTAATAAATAATCATAGAAGGTTTTAAATCATAGAAGATGAGCATATGCTCATGATTAACACTTGCAGCTTTGAAACTGCGCTCCTGTGAGAGCAGAAAATTCACAAGTGTAAATTCTTGTAATCAAACTATTATTATTCTAAATTACCAGTTAATCTGTCTCTCTTTTTTTCCACCGCCACCCCCTCTTCCCTAGGCACATGTGTATGTGGGGAATGCACATGCCATGATGTGGACCCGACTGGTGACTGGGGAGATATTCATGGAGATACTTGTGAGTGTGATGAAAGAAACTGCAAAGCAGTGTACGATAGATATTCTGATGACTTCTGTTCAGGTAAGAAATACATGTAAAAGGAACTTATGGGTAGTTTTATAACAAAAGCATCCAATTATCTGATCTCTCTCTTCCTTAGTGCTCCAGTTCTCATTTTCCTAGCCTAAAACATACCAAGCTTTAGCTAGATTTTTGGGGGGAGTGGACTTTTTACATTAAAAGATATAATTCTGTAAAAAAAAAAAAGTTTTCAGCTCTAAATCTTTTTTAAAACATATCTTTTTTTCCATGCCTTTTAACAAAATTCTGTAAATATGAAGCACTTTTAGGTGCCCATCTCCCTTCTAATACTCTTGTCTTCAGTGTAACCTTACATAAATTGCAGAATGGTTGAAAGTTTTCTATATATTTTTTTATATATATATATATATCCTTCCTTGGGGAAATTTAAATTTGAAAATTTGTTAGACCGAATTTTATTTGTTATTTCATGTTATATGGCAGGGAGAGGACAAGTGAGAGGAAGAAATTCGAGGAAAAGTGAATTAATGAGTTAATGAAAAACAGTACCCTGAGAATACCAGCTGACCTGAGAACACGTAGAGCATCAATATGTGGAAAATATGAATGTGTGGTCCAGCCACACATCACTGACTATACATCTTAGACACTTTCACCTTCCTTTTTTTCTTCTACTTGTACTTCAGGGCATTATGTTCAAATTAGTTAAGGTCCATCCAGCCATCCAAGGTTTGCAGTGTTTTTAGGTTGGTGCTCCGTGTATCAACTAACAAAAGCTTTGATTCTGAGCGAGACCTTGCATACAATTTTGTATAGTTGTTGATAAAGATGCTAGTGCTGGGCAGGAGAGAAGGACTTTGATCAATACACCGCACGCAATTTGTACACACAGGAACTCTGCAAAAACAAGTGAGGGTGGTTTCAAAGGGACTTGACAGATTACAGGTTGTCAGCTCTAATGTGTCCTGTAGAAATCTGATCTGGCCTAATTAGTAACAGGAAGGATGCAGTCACATCAAGGAAAATAATGATGTGGTATATTCTCCTCCTATTACTAGAATGAGAGATGCCTCATAGAAAGATCATAGGAGTCGTCCATAACAGGGAGAGAAGGCTGAAACAAACATGATACATAAAATTCTTCACCTCTTCTTTGCCTGTTAGAAAGGTAAAAGGTTTCTCAACCGCTGAGGGTTTTTCGTAATAAATAGGGATGAATCACTAGCTAATAAAACGAGGAAAAGAAAAAGAAAGAAGCATTTCTAAAAACCTTCAGTGAATTCATTTGCTTGTTACTGTTTCAGCCACCTACAAAAGTTATATGTTTATTTAATTAATAAGCTGGAAGGATGTAGAACTGCAGTCATGAGAGCAGCAGGAGGATTGACTTTGGGATGTTGACAATTTTTGAATGTATTATTGTACTGCTGAGTATGTTTTTAGCACTCAGGGACTGATCAAAATGTCAGCATCAGCTAAGGAATACAAAGCTAAAAACAACACGGTAAATGTGTTCTGTCGTTAAGGGTGAACACAAGAGTTTCAAACCTAATTAGATTAAAGCAAAGCTGTGGCATCTACAGCTGGTGCTGCATCACTGGAATCATCCCTGATTGAACTCCCTTTTTCCCAGATATTATTGCCACTGCTGCTGCTGCTGCCCTGGGTGGTAATTCCTGTAAGAAAGTAGAGTGTAAGAAAGTGTGGACAGTTGCAAAAGAGTTGTGGGGAGGATACTGCCATGTGACATCGGATTAAAGACATGTTACAGTGTTCTTTATTATACAGACATAACTGTAAATGAGCAAACCTTAAGAGAGATACAAAATAATGTACTCATATGGCTTGCTTGATGGAAATAAAACTCAGGTTGAAATATAGCTTAGTTTTTCTTTCTAATCAGCAAAAAAATTATTACTACTTATTCTTATGTTTTAGAAAAGCCTGATTTAGTTTTAGCTGGCCATCCAATATGCATTCCTCAAATAGATTGTGCAAAACTCTCCATTTTCATATGAAGCAGTGTGAACAATGTCTTATAGTCCTGCTGTTTAGTTCTCCTTCAGAAATGGACAAGATGCTTAAGTATTAACTTTGGTTTAATGTGGTAGACGGACAGAATCTGCAATTAAATCAAAGATTTACTAGCAGAATTGTAATTGGACACCTTTTTTGTTTGTTTATGTGAAATAAGTTTACTTAGTGAACAAAGTGTGCACGTGTTAGGTATGTCTGCAAAATATCCTAATTTTTCTGACAATCATTGGTAAATTGATTTGGGATGAATCCAAGAGGGATTAGTCAGATTAGGGAAAATAATCCAGCTCTCTTAAAACCTAAATCAAATGGAGCTGACACAAAACTTTTCCTGTCTTGTTCTGCCTACCTGACAGGTTGAGACAGGAAAACCCGTTGTCCTGAGTAGCAGGTTGAAATGACAGGAAATCATCTTTACATGTAGAGAGTATTACTGTAACTGAATGAAATGCTATGTTTATTTCATAAACTACAAATGACAGGAATTGGCAGCCCTGCTGTGAGGATTTAACATCACACAACAGCAGCTCCCTCCAGAAGCTTCATATGGCTTGGGGTGACTGTCAGTTTGCAGTACCTTATATTGGCAACTGGATGACTTCTTTTAACATCTGAAGTGCTGTTCAGTATGTTACCAAATGATTTTCTTTCAGAGGTGTTTGCAACATTAAAGTGATTCTCTTCCTTTAAAGCGAAAATAGCTTTCATGACTTGACACAGAAAGAAAAAAGGCTTCCATAAGAAAATTCCTACACTCACACATCTCATTAGCTCCTTTGTTGTGGCTCTAGCAAAGAAAACATTATATGAAAGAAGATACTTACTTTCATAAGTATCTAACTGGATCAGACATCCAATTTACAGGTACACATGAAAGCAAGGGGCAGAATCATAGAATCATGGAATGGTTTGGGTTGGAAGGGACCTTGAAGATCATTGAGTTCCAACCCCCCTGCCATGGGCAGGGACACCTCCCAATAGACCAGGTTGGTCAAAGCCCCATCCAACCTGGCCTTGAACACCTCTAGGGATGGGACATCCACAACTTCTCTGGGCAACCTGTTCCAGTGTCTCACCATCCTCACAGTAAATAATTTTTTCCTTGTATCTATTCTAAATCCTCTAAACCAGAGGAAGGCTATAGTGCTTTTTAAGGAAAACAAATAACTAATGTAAAGAAAAGTTATTCTTGAGAAATTAATAAGACGTATTCTGGGAACTGCTCCAATAACTTGTAGAATGCTTGCTTCCTCCCATTTTCTCCTTGTGAACTGATAAATGCATATGTTTTAGAAATATAATATAACCCAGTCTTAAAGTGCAAGTACAGTTAGAAAGAGATATAAAATCTGTGTTGCTGTGGTTTTCAAGAAGAACATGGATAGGCAAGTGGACATCAGAAAAATGCTTTGGGCTCCTGTGTCCAGCGAATGATGACTATGTGGAAATTGTGAGAGAAGATCTAACATGTTGTCAGAGCTCATGGAAATAAATATTTGATTTAGTGTCAAGGAATGTTTTTGCTGCTGCTCCGGCTTTCCTCACCCAGTGCAAGGAACATTTTGTCTTGCCAGAATCCCACTGCTTTATGCAGAAACCATCAGGCTCATGATGAAGGGACCTGGGCAATTAGCTTTTTTCTCGGTCTAGATAGGTCAACCTTCATGTAGAGGAAATTGTTTGGATGGATTTCCAGGTTAAGTTCTCAGGAGGGATTCACCCCTAACTTCTTGGCTGTCACATTTTTTTGAAGAAACTCTCCAGAAAAGCTTCTATGGAGTTCAGTGGCTTTTCCTTACCTGAACTTGTGCAGTGAAACTTGCATTTATGATGCTGTGTGCAGACATGGTTAGGCAGAGTCAAGTTAGCTAATGAGATACCAAAACCACATCCAACTGCCCTATTGAAATGAGAATTGATTATGTCCAGTATTTTATTATTCGCACATCACTATTTAGTAGAAGTCACTAGTTTGAGACTCGGAATTGATGTGACATTGCTTGTCTCTAGTGGATCATATTGAGTGCAAGTAGATAGAAGATGGTATTGATATATTACTTAGACAATACACTGCAACTACGGTAGAAAAAGAAGACCATAAAGGTAATGGTTCTGTTTTTTCAGACAGTGGTGAAATATGTATTTGTAACCTCTATTCCACCCTTTTGCACGAGAAGTGTGTGACAAGTGGGAAAACATCCCTTAAGAAAAAATATGAAAAGGAAATATAGAATCATAGACTGGTTTGAGCTGGAAGAGACCTCTTAAAGGTCATCTAGTCCAGCCCCCCTGCAACAAGCAGGGACATCTTCAACTACATCAGGTTGCTCAGAGCCCCGTCCAACCTGACCTGGAATGTTTCCAGGAATGGGGCATCTACTGTCTCTCTGGGCAGCCTGTTCCCGCGTTTCACCACCCTCACTGTAAAAAATTTCTTCCTTCTATCTAGTCTGAATCTACCCTCTTTTAGTTTAAAACCTATAGCCCTTGTCCTATCGCAACAGGCCCTGCTAAAAAGTTTGTCCCCATCTTTCTTGTAGGCCCCTTTTAAGTACTGAAAGGCTGCAATAAAGTCTCCCCAGAGCCTTCTCTTCTCCGAGCTGAACAACTCCAGCTCTCTCAGCCTTTCTTCACATGGTGTTCCATCCCTCTGATCATTTTTGTGGCCCTTATCTGGACCTGCTCCAACAGGTCCATGTCTTTCCTGTGCTGAGGGTTCCGGAGCTGGATGCAGTACTCCAGGTGGGGTCTCACCAGGGCAGAGTAGAGGGGCTGAATCACCTCCCTCAACCTGCTGGCCGTGCTTGTTCTGATGCAGCCCAGGAGGTGGCTCAAATGGAATGATTAACCAGTGCTATTTTCGGAAAAAAAGTAGATATAGTAAATTGGTTGTATTTTTTGCCAGTCTGAATACTTAATGAAACTATAGCGTTGATAAAGTTCATCTAATCATGAGGTTTTAATACCTATCATCAGTATAGAGGCTAATTTTTAATTGTATTCATTGTAAAGGTCACGGACAGTGTAATTGTGGAAGGTGTGACTGTAAAGAAGGATGGACTGGGAAGAAGTGTGAACATCCACGTTCTTGTCCATTGTCAGTTGACGAAAGTGCTAAGAAATGCCAAGGAAATTCTAATTTACCTTGCTCTGGAAGAGGTAAGCACACTTTTGGAAGAATTTTCATCCCTTCAAAATGTCCTTCCATTAAAAGAATTTTCCCAGATGTCAGCATTACTAGTACTGAAAAGTGTGAACTTTCCTGGCTTACTGTGCATGAATCCCACCTGCATAACTTGTGAGTTATGAGAAGGGAGGAAAAGAATACAAAGGTCACCTATTTTTCCTGTCATCTATTGCTTTGTATTTTATTTTACATATCTCAACATTTGTTTTGGAGGTTTTCAAGGATGCTTTGAAGATTGCTGCAGTTAAGTCTTTACTAAAGATACATTAAAAATATGAACATTCTTTGACAAAACCAGCATGAGATTTTCAGCCTGTGTAAAATGTTGTGGCGCCATTGTGATAAGAGCTGTTCGGATTTACACTGCCTAAGAACCTGCCCTGCTGACTGCAGGACGGACTTCTGAAATGCAGTTGTTCTTCAGTGCAGTTTGCTAGTCAGCCACTGGCTTTTCATTTGAAAGCATTTCTTTGTGACACTGCAGTCTTTTCAAAAGCTTGGACTAAAAAAACATACTAATTCATACCTACGATTGAAGTCTGTGTTACAAGCAAAAAGAAACTTTTCTCAGAAGGAAAAGAAACTGCTAATTTTCATCTGTCACTGTGTGAAATGTGGTTTTCTGCAGAGAGAAAAGTAAATATGAGACAGACTTTTACTAGAACTGGTAATTGAAGTTGTTATGAATTCTGCCCACTTAAGTGTTTGCTGGGAAAGGTCTAAAGCTACTCTTGAATAATTGCATTTGACCCTAAATGTCATTTCATTTGCAATTTTTCCTTTCACTAATATTATCTAACGTAGTCAAAAATTGTAGGCTGTCCACCCAAGTTAGAATTGTGATAATTTTTTTTTTCTCCCCCTACAAATGTATAGCAGCTCATAACTTAGTAAACACAGTATTATCTGTATCTTAAAAGAACTATGTATTAACATTTTTGCTGGATTTTTTCTTAATTGAGCTACAGTTTTCCAGTGAGTTACATCTCTCTTTTCTTGCTAAAAATTCTCAAAGAAATTTTTGGTTACAAGTTAGGTGAAACATGGGCATCTGTAGAGAATTAACTTAATTTTATTGTTCATGATCGCAAGAATTATAACTAAAAGAAAGGAATGTTGACATTTGATTTATTTTATTTTTTTTATAGTTGCTCACTCTTTTCCTTTTCTCACTGCATGCTGAATGTCTCTCATCCACTTCACTAGGAGCATTTGGAGTCAGTTCTATGATTTAATTGCACCATACACTATGAGAGTCAAATGACAGATAAAAGAATGACAGTCATAAAACCAAGTTTAATTTGAATAAAATTCAGTCTTAAGTTATGAAATATATTGTTCTATTTATATTTTAAATTTTGAAAAGTTTCAGTAAGTATAGTGAGAAGAGTGAGTTTAAAGATTTCAATATTAATGGCAATAATTCTATCCTCCTGTTGTTCTGAAAATACCCCTGAGTTTTAATGTTGGCAATGTTCTCCTGTCGAGATACTAGCAGTGAAATAAGTCTCTTTCAGGTGAATTCATTTGACTAAATGATCTGTTGGTCAAAATTTTCAAATAAAATACAAGTAGTATCTATTGGAACAAAAGGCTTAATTGATAGCAGCTTTCACTTCCAAACAAGAAGAGACCACTAAGTTTTATGAGAAGTACAAATGGCACAGACATGGATCTCAGACATAGCATGATAAACAGCTGCTGTCATGAAGGAGCAAGAGATTCTTCATTCCGGGCTTGAAAAAGAAGTCCCATGAAAACTGTCATTTTAAAATGGAATGTGGTGTCTTGTTTTAGTTCTGTGAACAATTTTGTTAAGGAAATTGGGAGAGAAAAAGAGGAAAGATTTTAGTCTGATCATCTGTAATTTATTTGGTAGGGTATTTTTTCACCCTGGGCTCCCTGGATTTTCTCCTTCCATAATATTTTGGATATAATAAAAAATGTGAGAAAGTTTCTGTACTGCTGAAGTGATGTAGGTGTTTAGTTCTATGAAAAATTGTCATTGGACTTGCAACGACCGAATTCTTTGGTCGCATTTGACAAGCCTACTACTTGTAATTGTAGTTTGTCATGGGCAGAAGTGTTACACAAACAAATAAAACAAAATAAAGATTTCCAATCAAGCACAACCTCTTTCAAATCTTCTGGGATGGGAAATGCCATGGGCTTGTAACATCGCCCCCAATTTTTCTGAAGGGGAGGATTGTGTGGCAAGGAAGGGAAGGTTCCAAATGAAATGGAAGTGTTACCTTTTCCATTATTGTTTTGATAACCTCCTTGTAAGATTTTTCTCCTGGCTGTGGTGCAAGAACAGTAAGGCCTTGCACAGGTCAGTAATCCACTGCACTGCAGGAGAAGTTGTGTAGTCAACGTCCTTATTTAATGGAATCTTTTAATAAGGCAGCTCATGTATGGAATAGGATGCAGAGCAGAGAGCCCAGAGATGCAGGTGCATGACTCTATGACATTGCTATGTATTGTGTTTCCTTGAATGTTTATTATTCATGTGAACCTTTTGTTTCTAGGTTAGTCAGCAACAGTTGTGACAGCTAACAGACTCTTTTCCAATCACTTTTATGATCTTGGATAAAGACATTGAAGAACAAAACATTTTTAGGATTTTTAATGACATATAGATAGTCAAAATGTGTAGGGAGAAAAAGAACTGTTAGAATTCATAGTCTCTTTCTATAATGTAAATGCTGTCATACGCTCTGATTTTCTGGTGGGGGATTTTGAAACTTCAGTTGTGATACTATTTTCCCAAGATTGGCAAAAATTACATTTCCTAGATGGTATTTTCTTGTTGAAATGTTAAATGTGATTTCAAAATGTGATAATACTCCGCTTAAACAGTAACAACAACAACAACAAAATCTATGCTGCCTGAGGCAGCATTAAAGAAATAGTCCTTCAAAGCTTTGGCTGGCCATTTTTAGTTTTATGTGCATTTAGCAAAACTTTCTGATATGGATGACTAGAGAACTCCCAATGATTCAGCTTCAGTCTTTAAAATCTCCAATAATAACTACAGAAGGTGAACCACAAAAAAACCCCTCAAACACCAAAAAACCCAAACAACAAAACTCCCAAACCAAGCCACCAAATCCTCTAAATACCCCATAAAAAAAAGGGTTGGGATTTTTATATTTTTGTGTCAGAGATTTGGGATGGTGGGGGCTTATATTGAAAAAAAAATAAAAATCCTTGTTTTACTTCACAAAATTTTATAATATTAGCACAAAAATCATGACAAAACAATACTCTTCAAAAATTTTCAATCATTCTGAGAGACCAAAAGCTTCCATCTTTGAACTTAATTTTGATAAGGTGTTTATTTTATGCCTCATACTTTGTTTTTGCAAGTAATGATGAATGGAAAAGAAAAGAGAACGTTAGCCTAATTTTATTCTTTTTTAAAAAATGACTTGATGACCCAACAGGTTTTTGATATTAAATTTTCATATAAATAACTGTATTTTTATATAAATGTACCCAAATGTTTATTAGTTACCTTTAAGGCAAATTATGTTCCTACAGAGGCAGAAATAAAGAAAGCATCAGCAATGCAAATTAAGAGAATTGTCACACGCCACCCAGATTTTGAGAATCCCACGTTCTCTTAACTACAAGTCATGTAACCTCAGCAAGAGAAAAAAAAAGATATAGGAAAAAAATTAACAATGAAAGAAATATTTTCTTTAAGTATAGTGTTTAATATATCAGGGGTGCATAAAAGTTGTATTAAAATGTTTAGAGAATTAAAAGGAAGCTATGAAGAACACGACCTAATTTGATAATCACTATCTATAAAAATCTACAGATTACAATTTCTCAATCTGCATTTTGCTCTCCTGAGAGCAGATGAAATAGTGAACTTTTATTCCAGACTGTAATTCCCTTCTTGATTTTCCCCAGTCACTCACAGGCATTACCAGTTGTTTCATGGGTGCTGGTCAGCATGTGGGGAGAGCAGAGATGCTGCCAAAACTATATTTCACCATGGTCTAATATTTCTTAGCTGCTTCAGTAGGTGAAGGACAGAGAAGGCTTTATATTGACATGCTGAGCAGTAAGTGAGAATGTTTACATTCTCAAATGATGTTATAAAGGCAGAGGAAAAATAAATCATCTCAGTTAGATCGATCAGGCTGTCTTTACCTTTGGTAGTTCCTGTTATATATAATGGGAGAGAAGGATCAGATGAAAATTTGGGGAATTCAAATACACTAGGTACTTTCCAAAAATTATTTTCCTTACAAAAGCATGTTGAGGATGAGGAGAGAGATTCTAGCCAGCTTTATTCATATAAAGTGAATAATTCCTTCTACACTTTTATTCTTGAGAGTGTTTGGTTTTTTTTTTTACTTGCTGCATGACTTTTCACTGTAGATGTAGTACTTCCACAGTGAAAGTCCGTCCTTTTTAAGAACACACTGTACAACAAGACCAGTGTCAGAGATAAAGGAAAAGATGCAGCAAACATTCCTTATGGTAAGAAATAAAGATCTTATTAATCCCCAGCAGGATTAAGGGACAAGACAAACCACTTCTCTCTGTAAAATGCACATCACTCACTTGCATTTTCCCTTAGAGCAAAAACCAGATTTCAAAATAGTTATAATAAAAAAGCCTTCAGGAAAAGAACTGAAAATAAAAAGAGCAGGTTTTGAGAATAACAGATGAGAGCTTTTTTTTTAAAATAATCTTTTTCTCATCACTTACCCCTAGTGAAGGCAGCCATCCCATGGCAGTGATCCAAAGACAGATAAATGACAAATCTTCTTACTGGTAGTGTCTTTTACCATTTTAATCTCTTTTCTATAATTGCTTTTATTTATTTGTCATATGAAGGGAATGAAACTGTTTTTTTATCTGTGAAATTCCCCCTTACACTTGTGCTCTAGCATTAGATATCTGAAAGGTAAAGAGGTTTTTTGATTCTGTACTGAAAAAGATTTTTGTTCTT